GGACAGCATTATGCCAGTATTACGCCAGTATTACGCCAGTACTAGTCCATTACTAGGCTAGTATTACCCCAGTACTAGGCCAGTATTACTCCAGTATTAGGCCAGAATTACCTCAGTATTACGCCAATATTACGCCAGTACTAGGCCATTACTGGGCTAGTATTACCCCAGTACAAAGACAGTACTAGGCCAGAATTACCCCATTATTACGCCAATATTACGCCATTACTAAGCTAGTATTACCCCAGTACTAGGCCTGTATTACACCAGTACTAGGCCAGTATTACGCCAGTATTACATCAGTTTAGGCCAGTACTAGGCCAGAATTACCCAAGTATTACGCCAGTACTAGGCCATTACTAGGCTAGTATTACCCCACTACTATGCCAGTATTACACTAGTACTAGGCCGGTATTACTCCAGTACTAGGCCAGAATTACCTCAGTATTACGCCAATATTACGCCAGTACTAGGCCATTACTATGCTAGTATTACCCCAGTACTAAAACAGTATTAAGTTAATATTACGCCAGTACTAGGCCAGAATTACCCCAGTATTACGCCAATATGACGCCATTACTAGGCTAGTATTACCCCATTACTAGGCCTGTATTACACCAGTTCTAGGCCAGTATTACGCCAATATTACCCCAGTTTACGCCAGTACTAGGCCAGAATTACCCAAGTATTACGCCAGTACTAGACCGTTACTAGGCCAGTATTACGCCAGTATTACCCCAATATTACGCCAGTACTAGGACAATATTACGCCAGCACTAGGCCATTACTAGGCTAGTATTACCTCAGTACTAAGACAGTATTAGGTCAGTATTACACCATTACTAGGCTAGTATTACCCCACTACTAGGCCAGTATTACACTAGTACTAGGCCAGTATTACCCCAGTATTACGTCATTACTAGACCAGTGATTCCCTAGTATTACGCCAGTACTAGACCAGTATTACACCAGTACTAGACAATTACTAGGTCAGTATTACGCCAGTATTACGCCAGTATTACGCCAGTACTAGGCTAAAATCACCCGGTATTACCCTAGTATTACCCAATACTAGACCATTACTAGGCCAGTATTACCCCAGTACTAGGCCAGTATTACGCAACTTTTACCCCAGTATTACACAAGTACTAGGCCATTATTAGGCCAGTCTTACCCCAGTATTACGTCAGTACTGGCGCTGTTCCATATTCAATATATATGTGAAGAAAAGGACTTTAGAAGCAAATGAATTATAGGTTATGTTTACGACAGTTTTACCTTTAAAACTTTCTTTTTGTTTCAGTAATATCAAAATGAATTTTTTTATCGTTTATTTTTGATATAATGAAGATCTTAAACATGGTTTGCATTAAGAGTTGATTCACTTTGTGTATTTTCACTTTAAAATTTCAGAACTTAACCTATATTTTTTTGCTTCTAAAGTCCCTTTCTTCTTTTGTGATAATTATTAAAAACACTGATAAAACATTGCAATGTGATTTTTTTAAAGTTTCAGCAAGCGATAAAAGTTTTTATATATAAATATACAAAAAAAAACTTATAAAATTGAACGCCTATATAGATCTTCCGGTATGATACATATATATATGAAAAATTCCTATTGCACAAAATACCAAGTGACGGTTGTCTTTGAACTTTTCTATTACCATTTTGAGTACTTCATTTCAGTATACCTATTTTTCTTTCTTTCTCATCTCGTTCGCTATATGTATATATAGTTTTTTCTCATTTACATCGCGTGGACTAAAGTTTGACCAACTTTTCGTTCTCACAACGAAAGAAACTGGAAAATGTCTGAAAATTATAATTTGCCTGCGAGGAAAACAATATTTACATAATACTGCAAAAGTTTTATTCAACGATTTTATTGTTATATATATATATATATATATATATATATATATATATATATATATATATATATATATATTGTGACGCTCCACGAGAAAAAGGACTTTTCATAAAAAAAAATTTTAGGTTATGTTTACCGATAATTTAACCTTTAAATAAGTTTTTAAATAAAAAGAATCAAAAATAGTTATTTATTGAATTTTTCGAATGTTATGAAATAAATACTTTTTTTTTATTAAGAGTTATATATACCACTTAAAAAATCATAAATATAACCTAAAAATTTTTTTTACCACAAGGTCCCTTTTCTCATGAAGCGTCATGTATGTATACATTTATTTGAAAATTTCTGAATTTTTCAATAATAATTCTATTTGATAAAATAAAATTATTTTTGTAAATGAAAAATTAGATGTCGTATTAAACATGCTGTTGAGTTTAACAACACTGTGATAGGAATTTATAGTTGTGTATATATATATATATATGAGAAGCTTTTCTCATATTCCACGTAATCTTTCATCGTTCTTGACAGGTTAAATACTATCTTCTGACAAGTCTCTAAGAGAAACAGTCTCACCAAAAGAATTTTTCTCAAAAGAAAATGTACATACTGTATATATATAGGCTTCAGTAAGCATATTTTCTTTTCAAAACAATTTACGTTTTATATATAGAAAAATTATTAAAAATTTGTTCTGACATGCGGAACCTTAAACTAAATTTTAAATTATGTTTAATGCTATAGTTTTACCATAATTAAACGCTTATTTTTTAAATCAAAATCAGTTTTTATTAAATATTTTCACATAAACATAACCTAAAATTTTGTTTACCTTAAGGTCCCTTTCACCATGTCAGGACACAGGTATTTAAAAAAAATTTTAAATACGGTAATCTAAACCTAATATAATGAAATTATTATGTTTATTATTTTTTATACATATATATATATATATCAATAAAAATATATATATATATGTATGTGTTTAGACATTTTCATATTTTCTTTGGCTTCTTTACCTTTTCCAAGATCGTACACTTGGCTATGAAAATAAAAGATAAAGCCAAGGAAGAAGAAACGTTTCCCAAGAGGATTTCCGTGTTTCCAACGAATATTACTAAGGTTCCTAAGGTGAATAGAAAGTACGAAAGCGAAAAAAATCAAATAGTATACCTATATATAGGGAACAAATGCGTAGAATCCAAGAGCATTTCTAAAAAGTTGAATTTTAAATTGTTTTTTAATATTTTTGAATAATTTCAAAAAAAAAAAACAATAGGATCCCAATATTCGCATATGAAACACTAAATCCGGTAGGGGACACAATAGAAACCCCTTTTCAGGATTAAAATCGATTAAAACCGGGGCCTAATCAGGGCCAGGTTTAGCCCAGGTCAGGTTCCATGTTTCAACCAGGTCAGGGCCAGGTTGATTGATTTCTTTAGTGTCATATGATTTTGCCCTTCAATATAGTATTCTGATCTTCTGTGTAAAGTATTTACAAAGTTGGAGAAATAGTAAATAGGCTCAGGCAGGGCTCTGGCAAGGGCCACCGTTAGGAAGCTCATATGAAACACTAAATATCCAGATTTGATCTCAAAATAAGCCCTATTCTAGCCTGCCTATAACCAGGGCCCCACTAGGGCCTAGTGTGGCCCCGGTCGGGTTTCCTATTTAGTTCCAGGTGAGGTACACAATTGTCGAATTTCTGCTAGAGTGTCATACAATTTTGCCATTCAATATAGAATCCTGTCATTAATAAATTTACACACGTTGCAGAAATTGTGAACTGGCTCTGGCAGGGCCCGGCCAGCGCCTGGTTTGGCTCCAGTTAGGTTCCCTGTTTCATTCAGATTAGAGCCAGGTTTGCGAATTATGCCACTTGTGTAGAAATTCGCTAATCTGATTCTGAACTAGACGAAACAGGGAATCCGGTTGGGGGCCACTCTAGGCCCTGTCAGAGCCCGTTTACAATTTCTGTACGTGTGTAAATCACTTAAAAGTAGGATTCTCTATTAAACGGGAAAAAAGCGTATTACACTCTTGCGGAAATTCGCTAATTGGCTCTAACCTGGAAGTAAACAAAGAACCCGATCAGGGCCACACTAGGCCCTAGTGGGGCCCTGCCTGAGCCTGTTTACTATTTCTCAATATTTGTAAATTCTTCACACTGAAGGGAAGAATACAATATTAAAGAACAAAATCTGATGACACTACCGTGCATAAATTTGTCAACCTGGCCCTGACCTGGTTGAAACAGGGAACTCGACCTGGGCCAAACCATGCGCTATGCTGGCCACGGTTATAATAGGACTGAAATACGAGTTTCTTCTGTGGTTTCATTAGGATTTAAGGTTTCCCTATGTGGGCTTTGTCAGGGCCCAGAACAAAAATGTTGAACAGGGCCTAGTGTGTTCCCCTGTTTAAAAACCAGGTCAGAGCCAAGTTGGCAAATTCTGCCCTGGTAATAAATGTAGTTAAAATTTGTTTATTTCATACAATTGTTGATGTTATAATTTGCTTTCTGTTTAAAATTGTTCGCTAATTGTAAAAATCATATCTAAAAAAAATTAATATTGGCGCAGTACTGGGCCAGTACTGGTGTACTGTGCCAATAGTGAAATCTGACAATTTTTGGTAGGGTATTTATACAAAAGTATTCCCTACCAAAAATTGTCAGTATTTACTACTGGCGCAGTACTGGCGTAGTAAATTCTTTACAGTATAATTATCGAAAACTTGTTGTTTAGGGGAAAAAAAGATATACCTGGAACAGCGAAACGTTTCACTGTAGTAGCAAAAATTTTTTACTTATTTCAGCTAAATCTTTCGCTATTCTAGTGAAACATTTCATTGTTTCAGATAAATCTTTTTTTTTCGTGTTATTTTTGAAAAAAAAAATTTTTTTTTTTAAATTGAATTTATATAGCAATTTGTGCGATATGAAGGATCCCTGTAGAACCGATCGAGACAAGAAAAAATGCTTTGCAATGTACTCACCAGAGGACAACAGTAGGTTATTTTACCAGCAATGGGGAACCTATCACTTTCCTGAGTTCGGCCTTGAAGACCTTTCATTTAATAATACCAACGTGGGGAAAGTTAGAAGTCGACATATTGTCCTCATATTGAACAGAATCAACTGTTTCAAGTGCGCAAGACATCTCGCGCAGTCTCATTGACCAGACCTAGTGGACTAATGGTCTTCGACACGAACGAAAACCAAATCAGTCTGAGAAGTCTTTAGAGTGTGTGCCCAACGGCGGAAAATCGTTGTGTCCTTTAAAATAAAAAAAGAAAAAAAAAGAAAGAAAGAAACAAACAAAAAAAAGAAAAGAAAAAGTAGAGAAAAAAAATATTCCTTAAATTAAATTTCAAATTATAATAACGCGACCTCGTAAGAGCGTCGGGTAATTCTTCGTCTAAACTGCAACTGTTCTTCGGTTCGAGGACTCAACAACAAGAAATCAACTCGTTTTCCCGTCTTCGCAGCAAGTCGACGACGACAAGGTGAGTCGTTGTAGTTTTGCAGTGGCGACGCGCCTTTTACAACCATGTACTATATATATATATATATATATATTACGCGACTTATCAAATAATCGATCGAAAATTCCTCGTTCCATTTTTTTTCCAATTTTTCTCCCTCTCCCCTCTCTAATTTTCATAACACATTTTAAACTCGCTCCACTTTTTCCACCAAATAATATTTTATGTCTTCAAAAAAAAAAAAAAAAATTTTTTTATGCACAATCAATACACATTATAATCTAGAACAAGAAGGTAACTCGTACACATGTTTGGATTTTTAAATCCAAGCATGTTCTACGTGTTTCCATCTTAATCAAACGGAATTATTCAAGATGTAAGAAAAAAAAAACCAGATCAAACCGGTAACAATTTATTTTATTTTTTTTTTTAAAACAGAAAGAGAAAGAGAATTTTTAGGAATGCAGAAGTAACCGGAAGGAACAGAAATTTCCCGCGCAGAGTGCAATCGATAATGAAAGTTCGAGGTCACTCGCTTTTGTCGTCATTAGAATTTTTTTTTCTTCAAAAAAAAAAAGTTGTATTTATATTGATTGTCCAAAATTGGTTAAATGTCGTTAGTTCACTGCGGTAAAACAGAAAAAAAAAATTATTATATATCCAATTGTGTGACCCCATCTCATATTATCAAAAAAAAAGGAATTTCCTTCATGCATTAAATGTCATATGACACAATGCGGGCAGATTTTTATCTGGGATATATGATTCAATATTTTGCGAATATATAACTTTATGAATCCGCAAGGCCGTTGGGGGGATTCAAGGCCAACAATCAACTGACACAAATGTGAGACATCGTCATTTGTTGATATAGTCCGGTTTAATAATGTCATTTCATTTTGTTAAGAGACGTTATCTTCTTCTTTTTTTTGTATGTTTTATTTTTTTATGAGTACATTTTTTTTGAGGTGGTTCAACTCATTGTGACATAACCTCAAAATGATATTCATTTGTTATTTTTTTTTGTAATTAGGGATCCACTAATTCAAAAATTAAGTAATTGAAAATTTACATTAATTTTTGGTAAAAACATTAATTTTTTAATTTTGCTACCAATTACTGAAGTTTTAGTAAAAAAAAAAAAATAAGAAACAATTTTCACTAAATTTTAGTTAAATATTACTATTTGATCTAGTAATAATTACTAACAAGTATTTTGTGAAAAAATTAGTAATTAGTAGGAAAATTTTTACGGAAAAATTAGTAACAATTTTTAACTAATTTTTAGTAAAATAATTCTATTTAATTTAGTAAGAATTACTAAAAAAAAAGTTTTACTAAAAAATAGTTTTACTAAAAATTAGTAATAATTATTAATAAAGTCTTAATAATAGAATATAATTTTAGTAATATTTTACTAAAAATTAGTGAAAATTGTTACTAATTTTTAGTAAAATATATATTTGATTTTGATACTAATTACTAATGTTTATAGTAAAAAATAAGTAAAAATTTTCCACTAATTTTTAGTGAAACTTTAATATTTCATTAGGTAATAGTTAGTAATAAATTTTTAGCAAAAAAATTAGTAACAATTTTCACTAACTTTTAGTTAAACATTACTATTTGATTTAGAAAAAATTACTAACAAATTTTTAGTTAAAAAGTAAAAAACAATTTTCACCAATTTTTATTAAAATATTTATACATATTTGATTTTTGTACTAATTACTATAGTGAAAAATTTGTAGAAATTTTCATACTAATTTTTAGTAAAACATTAATATTTGAATTATTAATAATTATTTATAAAGTTTTACTAAAAATTAGTGAGAATTTTCACTAATTTTTAGAAAAATTTTACTATATATTTGATTTTGGTACTAATTAATAAAGTTTTTAGTAAAATTTTTTACTAATTTTAAATAAAACATTACTATTTGTTTTAGTAATAATTACTAAAAAAATTTTAGTGAAAAAATTAGTAACAATTTTCACTAATTTTCAGTAAAATACTACTACAAATTTAATTGTGATACTAATTACTAAAGTTTTAGTAAAAAATTTAGGAACAATTTTCATTAATTTTTAATAAAATATTACTTTTTAATTTAGTAATAATTTCTAATTAAGTTTTTTACTAAAAATTCGAAAGAATATTTATTAATTTTTAGTAGAATTTTACTATATATTTTATTTTAATATTATCTTACTAAAGTTTTAGTAAAAAAAATTGTTAGAAATTTTCACTCATTTTTAGTAAAATTTTACTATATATTTAATTTTTGCACTAATTATTAAATTTTTTACTAAAAATTAGTATGAATTTTTACTAATTTTTTAGTAAAACTTACTATTTAACTCAGTAATAATTACTAAAGTTATAGTAAACAATTAGAAACAATTTTCAATAATTTTTAGTAAAATAGTACTAAATACTTGATTTTAGTACGAATTTTTAGTAAAATTTTACTATATATTTGATTTTGGTACTAATTAATAAAGTTTTTAGTAAAATTTTTAACTAATTTTAAGTAAAACATTACTATTTGTTTTAGTAATAATTACTAAAAAAAATTTTAGTGAAAAAATTAGTAACAATTTTCATTAATTTTTAGTAAAATACTACTACAAATTTAATTGTGGTACTAATTACTAAAATTTAAGTAAAAAAATTAGGAACAATTTTCATTAATTTTTAATAAAATATTACTTTTTAATTTAGTAATAATTTCTAATTAAGTTTTACTAAAAATTCGAAAGAATATTTATTAATTTTTAGTACAATTTTACTATATATTTTATTTTAATATTAATTACTAAAGTTTTAGTAAAAAAAAATTGGTTGAAATTTTCACTCATTTTTAGTAAAATTTTACTATATATTTAATTTTTGTACTAATTATTAAATTTTTTTACTAAAAATTAGTATGAATTTTTACTAATTTTTAGTAAAACTTACTATTTAACTCACAATCAGTAATAAGTACTAAAGTTATAGTAAATAATTAGAAACAATTTTCACTAATTTTTAGTAAAATAGTACTACATACTTGATTTTAGTATGAATTTTTAGTAAAATTTTACTATATATTTGATTTTGATACTAACTACTGAAGTTTTAGTAATAAAAATAGTAAAATTTTTCAATTAATTTTTAATAAAACATTACTTTTTGATTTTGGTACAGATTACTAAAACTTTTTGTAAGTTAGTAAAAAATTTGTAACAATTTTAAGTAATTTGAGTTAGTGGATGATATTTAAATGTATATATATCATATTTCGTATGTGTTAGTTTTTTTTTCTTTTTTTTTTTTTTAAAGAATGATTTTGTTGACAAAAACCCATTCAACTGTATACAGGTAGAGTGTGAGATATATATATTTGCTTGAAGAAACCTTCAATAATGATATTTGCAAGTGTCTTCAATATTCATATGCATGTTAGAAAATCCTTGAATCTTTGTGAAAAATATATTTTTCAAAAAGTTTTGCAACTCTTCATATTTTATTTTATTTTTTTTTTTTTCGTTTCTTTCTCGATATTTGACTTTCTATTTTTATAAAAAATTTATTTCAAAATATTATTATTGTTGTTAACAAATACCTATTATTATATATATTATCTGATGAGGAATTTTTTTTTTTTTTTTTTTTACGACGAGAACTCATTATCATTCAGAATTCTTCACAGAAAACAATAGATGTGTTGTAAAAATTAAGGCGTGTCCTTCCGGTCAATTTAAATAATACTAATAATTGAATGTTTATATATATATATATAAATATTTGTAAATAATAGAAGTTTGTTTTAATATAATTCTCTCTTTCTCTTTCTCTCTGTTATGTATATATATGGTTCGATTTTGTTATTCAAGAAAACAAAATTATATTTATATTGTAAAACTGTTTCTAAAAGTATAGTGGGAATATAATTTTGTTTTTTAAATGTTATAAACAAAAAAAAAAAAAAAATAGTAATTGAAATGGTTAGACGGAGATTTTGAATTTCAACATCCGATACAATTCCGTGAGTTTGACAAAATAAAATTCATTTTGCATGTAATTTTCATTTTTTCATTGTGATGAAAAATCATATATTTTTTTTGGCCATTTTACTCTTCATTATTAATTGTTTGGAATATGTTAATTTTGTGAAATAATTTGATTTATTAGTATCAGTGAGAAAAAAAATTTATTTGTTTTAAATAATCGATTACTTGAATTTAAATAAATATTTACTTGAATCAAATAATTTTTGAAATGTAATAATTAAATTAAATAAACTTTATTTGAACCAATAATTTCTTTGAAACAAATACCATTTAATTGATTCAATATAATTATTTAATCCAAGTAAATATTTAGTTGGTTCAAATAAATATTTATTTGATCCAAGTAAATATTTAGTTGGTTCAAATAAATATTTATTTGATCCAAGTAAATATTTAGTTGGTTCAAATAAATATTTATTTGATCCAAGTAAATATTTATTTGGCCATACTTGATTTAATATTTAAAAAAAAATTTAATTCAATTGTTAATAATTATTTTTCAATACAAAATATGTTAAATATTTTGCATTATCATTTTATCTCTAAAGTTAGACAATTTTTTAATGAAGAGTTATACCCACATATGGCATTTGAGACAAGTTATAAATTATTTTCGCAATTACACTGCAACTGGGCTGCCGCCACGCATGCAAATCTCTGTGTATATTAAATAAGAACAAAAAAAAAAAAGTATATAAAAAATTTTAGCACGTAACAAATATATCGCATGTTTATCAAATAAATGTTTTCCTATTTTTATTTTTATTTTATTATTATTTATTGAACAGTTGTACGAAAAAATTTTTCAAGATATTGGTAATTGATTTTTTTCATTTTTTTAATAAATATTTTATTTACATAAATTTTATAGCAAAAATTAAATTTCTAGTAATAAATAATAATTTATAAAAAGTAACTATATTGTGGACGTCCGCATGAAAATGAACCCTTTTTGGTACTATTGGACTATATAGGCAAATTTCTGACTAAATTTGGAAAATTTTGAGTGGTCTTAGACCTTTTTAAGTGAAAAATTCGCAAAGTTACAAGGATTCAAAGTTAAAAGTGCCAAAACACTATGAAATACACCCAGAGAGAAATTATATATTTGTCTCACCAGTCTAATAAATATTTATTTGATTCAAATAAATATTTATTTGATTAAATAAATTTTTATTTGATTCAAATAAATATTTATTTGATTTAAATAAATTTTTATTTGATCCAAATAAATATTTATTTGATTTAAATAGTAAGCTGTGAGACAAATATACGTTTGTTTAATTCAAATATATTATATATTTGGTTAAAATAAAATGGGTGCTATACAAAATATTTACTTAATTCTTATTGCGATTTTTTTTTTATAGAAATTGCTTTTCTCCAAACTTGGTCAATTTTTGGCACTGAGCCTCAGATGTTTATTGGCTAGTTTACAAAAAAATATTCCTACTCAATGAAAAGTGGCTCTATCATTTTAAATTTTGGCAAAATGCGTATATACTATAAACAATAATGTAACAGGTTGTTGTGAATTTTTTTTTCTTTTTTTTTTTAAATCAAAAAAAGCTACTTTTATATATTTAAATAAAATTTTTATTTTTATTATTTAATTATTTAATTAATAATAAATAAATAAATAATTCAATTTTTAAATAAATAATTCATTTATAAGAATATTAATAATAAAAATAAATATAAGAATAGATTAAATAACAAAACGATAACATTAATTAATTAATTTTAATTATAAAATTTATAAATAAATAAAGTAAATTTTTTTTATAATAATTAATAAATGAAAATAAAAATTCAAAACAAAATTATAAAAAATTAACAATATAATATTGAAGTCCAACAAAAATTTTTTAAAGTAAATGGCGCCACCAAATGTTGTTTGGCTTATTTTGAATTGCAATAAAACCCAGATAGCACGGAAACTTGCAGCAAGCTTGCTGCAAGCTTGTCTGAGCTAGCGAAATGTCCCACCCAGGGCAAGCTTGCCGTGAAAGCTTGCTGTAAGCTTTCCAGGAAAGGTTGCTGCAATCTTGCCATGAAATATTTCTACAAGATTGCTGCAAGCATACTAAGAATGATTGCGGCAAGCTTGCCGTGAAAGATTGCTGTAAGCTTGCTACGTAAGGTTTCAGGAGAATTTCAACAAGCTTCTGGAAAGGTTGCTGCAAGGTTGCTGCAATTTTTAAAAAATACATTTTAAATTTTAAAAAAATTCATTTGTTTTCTAAATTTGAAAATCCTTGTGACGTTTATTATTATTAATTATGTCCTGTTTATTTTCATTTGGAAACTTAACGAGAAAATTTTCGAAACAAATTTGAGGGGACTGGGAATCAACAACTATTCTTGTTCGTTTAAATTAAAAGAAAATTATAAGAGTAAGGTTAGGGTTTTGTTAGGCTGTCGAACCCGGGTTCGATTCCCAGTCCCCTCAAATTTGTTTCGAAAATTTTCTCGTTAAGTTTCCAAATGAAAATAAACAGGACATAATTAATAATAATAAACGTCACAAGGATTTTCAAATTTAAAAAAAAGAAATAAATTTTTTTTTAATTTAAAATGTATTTTTTAAAAATTGTAGCAAGCTTGCAGCAACCTTTCCAGAAGTTTGTTGATATTCTCCTGCAACCTTACGTAGCAAGCTTACAGCAAGCTTACGTAGCAAGCTTACAGCAATCTTTCACGGCAAGCTTGCCGCAATCATTCTTAGTATGCTTGCAGCAATCTTGTAGAAATCTTTCATGGCAAGATTGCAGCAAGCTTTCACGGCAAGCTTGCCCTGGGTGGGACATTTCGCTAACTCAGACAAGCTTGCAGCAAGCTTGCACGGTGAACTTGCCGCAAGCTTGCTGCAAGTTTCCGTGCTATCTAGGAAATGAGTTCAAATTTTTTTTCCTGTGTTCTATTCGAATTTTATTTTATTTTTAATATAATATTTTAAAATAAAATAAAATTCGAATATTATCGGTTTTGTTACTTTTTAATCAATTTTAATATATTCCAATTCGAATTTGTTGAAAGTTTACGGTAAAAATATAAATAAATTTCTCTTAAGTGCATACACGTGTGTGCGTCTTCGGTGCAAGAGACAACAATTATTTACACGCACTGAGAAAGATTAGTGGGGAATTATGAAATAAATCAATTTTGATATTTGATGACTATTTATTAAATATTTAACGATTAGATAAAATGAGATCGATAACCAGTATCTTGATTACATCATAGAAAAAAAAAAATTTTTTTTCTACATCTGTTATAAAATACAAATGCATATATATATAGAAAATAGCATCTTATCTTTACTTTGTTTTTTTTTTTTTTTTTAATTTTCTTTATTAATATTTGTCTTGTTTGATGTAATTTTGACGTATATACATGTGCTTTTCATCCGTTTATCAACGGCAGAATTTGCACCTTCTTACCACCACCACCACTACCAACCACCACCCACCGTCATCATCATCATTACAAACAAGTATCTGTGATCTTCAATCTGCATTTTGGAATTCGTAAACGACGTCGTGGGTATTAAATATATAGGACAAAAAAAAAAAAAAAAAAAAAAAAAAATTATCGCCATGCCGGCAGGTATTGGCGCTTCGTACAGATCACTAGGTGATCTGGGCGAAGATGTCTACAAAAGTACAACAATTGTTGATCAAACACAAACAACTGGCCAAAGTGTACTTGAAAGTGTGAAGAAGGCATTCAGTTTTGCAGCACCAAAAATTGATATCAGAAAGAAGAATCTTTTAATTGAAGATTCAACGAGAGAGAACATCTCAATTGTTTCAAGGTAAATAATAAATTATTTTTTTTTCTTCTTCAATTATCGCGGTGATGGGTATATTAATTATTTAATGTTAAAAAAGAAAAAGTTTGGTGACGGTCTGGTAAAAAGCAAGAATTTTTTTTAATAGTATTTTATCATAAAAAAAATAATAATATAGTATCGTTCTTTATTAATTATTTAATATTAATTTTTTTTTTGCTTTTTAAAAAATTTATAAATATAAAATTATATTTATACACCCAGAGAAATGATATATTTGTCTCAGAGCCAAATAATTATTTATTTGATTTAAATAAAAAAATTTTATTTACGTCTAATAAAATTGTCTAGTAGGCTCTGAGACAAATATATATATATATATACGTTTATTTAATTCAAATATATTATATTTGTATAAAACATTTATCTGGATGTAGAATTATAATTATTATTTAATATTAAATTATTTTTTTGTAATAATAATAATTTATAAATTATTTATTTATGACTCAAAACTAGATACAATTAATTTATAAATTAATATTATTTTATTAAATTGAAATTAAGGATAAAATTATTAGGGGGAATATACACTCAGAGAAATGTTTTATTTGAATCCAATATATAATATATTTGAGTTAAATAAATGTATATTTGTCTCACAGCCTACTAGCCTATTTATTTGGCATAAATAAATTTCTTTATTGAAATCAAATAAAAATTTATTTAGATCAAATAAATATTTATTGATTGTGAGACAAATATTTCATTTCTCTGATTGTAGAATCTTGAATTAAGGAGGTTCAACCCATTAACATAATCTAAAAACTAAAAAGTACACCCAAAGAAAAGATTTCTTTGATTTAAAGAAATTTCTTTGACTTGTTTTCTTTCATTCAAAATTAAATTTTTTCTTTGAAACAAAAAAAAGTTTATTAGTTTCAAAGAAAATTTCTTTGAATAAAAGAAATTCTAACATTGATATAGGGTCAAAGAAACATTTATTTGAATTAAATAAAAAAATTCTTTGAAACGAAAATAATTTTTTTTTTTTTTTTTTTTTTTAATCAAAGATAATTTGTTTGAAACAAATAAATGTTCTTTGTATCAAAGAAAAATTTGTCAAAAAAATTGATTTATATTATAAACTACTTTTTATTTTTGAGGTTATGTTGAACCTCGTTAAAAAAAAAAAGTGATTTCGTTTATTTATCAGGATTGCTCTATAATCGATCGGATCGAACGACATACATTTCTGGTTTGCGATTTTAAGTAAACAATAATTTATTTTACGTTAAGTACAGACGGACTTTAGGACCGGAAGCTGACGCCAAGAATATCGATCTCCGGCCTGTTCGCTTGAAAACAGGCCGGTAAGGTAAGCTGCATGCTACACGAAGTTGCGCTACTTTGCACGTTTTATTAACACCTTTTTCTTTTTTTTTTTTTGTCATTTGCATTTTTCGCTTGTGCTATTTTTATATCTGTTTTTGTATTTTCAAATATCAACAAAAAATACAACATTTACACTATATAGAAAAAAAAATTTTTAATTATTTTTATAAATTGTAAAAAATATTTTTAAAAAACTATTTTTGAAAATGAAAATAATTTTTAGAAATTATTATTGATAAATAAGTATTAATAAATAAATTATATAAATAAGTAGATTAGTTTCTTATTCGTGTTTATTAGGAAAAATAGGAAATATTTTCGTATAGGGAAAGAGTGGTCAACAGTGGGCCAGTATAGTTTTTTGAAAGATGAATTAAAAAACAAAAAGGTAAAAAAATTGATTTAAAACCTTTATTTATATTTAGTATTTTACACATTCGGAGAAAAGATTTCTTTGATTCAAAGAAACATTTATTTGAATTAAAGAAAATATTTCTTTTTTTGTTTTTTGAATCAAAGAAACATTTATTTGAATTAAATAAAAAATTTTTTTTGAAACGAAGATAATTTTTCTTTGAATTAAAAAAAAAAAAAATTTATTTGAATTAAATAAAAAATTTTTTTTGAAACAAAGATAATTTTTCTTTGAATTAAAAAAAAAAAAAATAAAATTTATTTGAATTAAATAAAAAAATTTCTTTGAAACAAATAAATTTTTTTTTTTAGTATCAAATAAAAATTTGTCAAAGTAATTTATTTCTTTGAATCAAAGAAATTTTTTTTTCTGTGGTGATAGTTCTTTTTTTTTTTTAATTCATCTTATAAAGAACTAGTGACCCACTGTTGACCATTCTCCCCTAGATTTTAGTGTTTGACAGATAATTTTCCATTTTAAATTGCCATTTAGCCGCAAATTCAATTAAACGAGATTGCTATTTGGAATAATAATTACCGTATATCTAGTTTCAATTCCCCATGACCCGAAATTTAATATTTCACTATATATAGTTGTCATTTTGTCATTAATGGGGAAATTACCCTTTTACCGATTGTTTCAAAAATTAATTTAGAAAATTTTCAACAATCATTTTTCTCTTATTATAACAAATATTGTCAATCTTCGAAAAAAAAATTGGAATATTTTTCAAATCAATTAAAAAAAAAAAAAAATTGATAAAAAAAAAAATTTTTGAAAATTTTTTATCCGGAATATAAAATATAATTTTGATGACTAATTTAATTCGAAAAATTGGGTTATTAAAAAAAAAAAATAATTGAACGCTGTGAGGCTTGTGATATAATATCGACGTAGTTAATTATCGAAAATTAATCAGGACACGTGTTATATGAGTTTGTCAGGTTGTTTGACCTAATGGAGTTTCGAGACAACTCAATCAAATTGTCTCCGTAGTATACAGGCATCGTCGTCGTTTATGAGTTTTTGTGCAATTAAATCCAAATACATTTTTTTTCTCAATATTCACGAATAAGAAACTAATTATAAAAGTCAATTAAAGATTCCTTTTTTTTTTTTTTTTTGAATAAGTGTTCTATTTTATTTTTTTCAAAACTAAAAATAAAATTCTTAAATTAAAAAAAAAAAGAGGGGGGAATTAAATGTCAATGAAGAGAAATACAACATTGACACAAAAATATAGGTGAGGCACTCTTGAAGAATGGGTTTCTAAGCAAAAAATTATAGGTTATGTTTATGATAGTTTGCAGTAAAAATACAATAAATATTCGTTATAGAAATTATAAAAAATATTTTTAAAAAATATTCATAAAAATATAAAAATTGATTTAAAAATTTTATATAATTAAAAAGAAACTTTGTTTCTTTTTCAAAAAAATTGACGATCCAAACTATCATAAACATAACCTAGAAATTTTTTTTGCTTAGAACCTTTTCTTCAGTGCGCGTCACATATTGTCAAAAAAAAAAGAATCTCAAAACTAAACACACTGTATTTTTGTAAATGTAATGGTGTTCGTATTGTTATATATCTCTTTAAAAAAAAAAAAAAATTGGTAAATTATGACATACTGTAAAAGTAGTTAAGCCGCTAGGGCCAGTCGTGTGATTATTCGGCGCCATTTTGTTTTAGGGACAGAAACAAGATGCCAGCCGCTGCCAGTGCCGAGGAATCAGCTCTTTTGGGGTAAGTATTATTTATTTCTAAAAAAAAAAATCGACGGATAATTTAAAGCGATTCATCGATAATAGTTTCTCTTGAGAAATTAATTATAGAAAATACGACAAAAAAATTGACGATCCAAATTACTTTTTTTAAATAAAAAAATTTTTTTTTTTAAAAATAAATTATAATTAATTAATTATTAGTTAATAATTATAATTAAAAATTTAATAATTATAATTAATAATTTATATATTAATTTATTATTATATATAAAATTATATGTATATAATTTTTTTTTTTTTTTTGTAAAAACCGAAAAACTTGCCAGTGTGACAGAAAGTAATACGTGCTCTAGTTGTGTAATCGTATATATTTGTGTTATTTTTGCTAGAAAATTATTGTATATTAAGCTTGTATATTCGCATAGAAAAAAAAATGTGAAAAAAAACAAAATTAATTTATATAAATTTTTCAAAGTATTTAAATTTTTGTAGGAAATATGTAGAAATTGAAGAAAAGGTACTGTCAATAATCCCTTTTTTCCCTTATTTGAATTTATTCAAACTGTAAAAATTTAATAGAGGCGCTAGTCTATTTTTTACGATTTTTCGCCGTTTGGCGCCAGCGGTGGGAACCGTAAGCAAAACAATCTCTTTATAATCAGTTATATATTAAAATACGAAATATAAAGCGACACATGAAAGGTACATGAAAGCTTAAAAAAAATTATAAAAAAGAAAAATTATTTTAAAAAAGTACAAAAAATAATAATAAAAAAATAAAAAAATTATATTCTAAGAACAGAAAATCTTCGATGATATTCTGATTGAATTCCAGAAATGATTGATAGTTTTCGTTTATTTTTTTTTTTTTTGCTTATTTAACTATTTTTCTTTTTTTTTGAATTGTTGGCGTTGCTAGGCAACGACTGATTCGTAGAATGGAAACAATTCCTGGGTCGATGTCCGGACGCCAGGACGCCGCGCCAGGCGTCTGTCTTTTATGCTTCGAAATGCATCACAAAACTTGAACGATTATATTGAACCATAAGAACAAAGTTTAATTAATTCCCCAGAAAAAACAGATTTTCTATAGTAACAAAAAAAAAAAAAAAAAAAAATAACTATTTTAAAAAAAATCGAATTTTCTACTTTCATTTGCGCAAAATTATTACTACTCGCTTTTTTTTATGCCCAATTCTCTCCGCTAAAACGTACCTTATTTCCGCCCCAATTATTTTTAATGAACTAATTATCTGTTAAATGATTTTCACCGTTATAGTAAATTGAAGTTCCAACGAATCGAAACAAGGTTTATTTTATTTTTTTTTTTGTAAACATATTGAAAAGTAAAGAAAACAAATTTTTTGGGGCGCATAATTATTTCATATAAATCATTATAGTTTAAAAATGTTCATTTTAAAGAATTTTATTAGAAATAATTTTATTTTTTATACGAATTTTCATTTTTGTAAATTACATTTGACTGAATTTTTTTTTTTTTTTTTTTTTTTTTTGAACAAATTTTTATTTAACAGAATTCTTATGTATCGAATTTTTATTTGTCCGAAATTGCAATAATGGCCGAACAAACAATCGATTTCGGCGCGATTTTTAAAATCCACCAATCAAAAAGTTGTCGCAATAAAATCGTGATTGGTGGATTTTAAAAATCGCGCCGAAATCGATTGTTTGTTCGGCCATTATTGCAACAACTTTTTGATTGGTGGATTTTAAAAATCGCTCCGAAATCGATTGTTTGTTCGGCCAATTTGTAATTTCGGACAAATAAAAATTCGGCGTTTTTAAGAATTATACCATAATAGAAATTACCTAAAAATTTGTTAAAAAATAAAAAGAAATTCTATCAAATTCTAATTCGAAAAATGAAAATTCGTCTAAAAAATAATTATATATCTAATAAAAATTATTGAAAATGAAAATTCTAATTAATAATTTTTATCGGATAATTATACGCCCAAAATTTTCAATTTTTGTAATCTAAAATGAAAAAAAAGTTGGAAAATTTTTCATAAATTATTATTTATTGAAAATTAATTATGTTTTCAATTAGTTTTATATATGGAATATAGTCGCAAAAGTCATGTGTAAAGTATACTTAATCGATTGATAAAAATCTATGGATAAAGTATCGAGTGTTAGGGATATCATATGTATTAGTGGTCATCCGCAAAAAAAAAAAACTTTGTTTATTTGCACTTCATTTGTCGGTGAATGAAAAAACTTCCAAGGAGTCTTTATTTTTTCTTTTTATTCTCAAGTTTCATTACCAACTTTTTTTTTTTTTGTACACAAAGTTTTTTTTTACATCTATTCTTTTAACTGCAATAACTATTACAAGAAGACTAGAAACAGGAGGAATAACTCCGGTGGTGGGGGTGAAGCAAATTCGGAGGACAATGAAGGACTCCGGTAGTTTGCGCAGTAGTGAAAAAATGAAACATCCGCGCATACATGTGTGAATGTATTTAGGTTATGTTGGTTTGGTAAACAATTGACACGTGATTAATTAAATAAATTAAAATTGATGGGTCTTAGTTAGCAAATTCACTTTATAATAGAATCAAGTATACCAAATTAGATTACTGATAGGTTGTCAATTTTTTATTAAAAATTTGAACACTCTTTAAATTAGCTTTTGACAAGCTCTGTCGTCTGCTTTGTTGTCACGCCAGCTGTCTAACGGATCTGACGTACAAGTGACACATCCGGTTGCGCAGAAACCTAATTTGGTCTACTGCGCAAATACTGTCCACCCTCATTGGACTCAAATACTGCCTCAACAATCTCTTACCCCCACCACTAGAGTTATTCCTCCTTATTCTAGTCTTCTTGAACTATTATAACATCTCCATTTTCATGAACATAAATTTTTCATCGTTACATTTATTTTAACATTATTATTTATTACATTTTTTTTGGAACAAATTTTTTTTGGTTTTTTTAAAAACAATAAAATAAAAACAAAAAATTTGTTCCTGAGAGAATAATTATTGATATGGCTAATTAATAATTAATAAATAATAATAATTAATTAATAATTATTAATTAATAATTAATAATTAATATTTAATAATTAATTAAAAAATTTGTTATTATAAATATGAAATAAATGATTATAAAGAAAACTATTAACAAAAATAATTAAAAATTTTATTATTTAATAATAAATTTTCAATTACGTTATTATTATCCTTTAAAGTAGATTAGCCTTAATTCGGACATAAGGAGCAGATGTATTGTTTCGTAAAATATCTGCATTTCTGCAGAATACACTCAGACAAGTTATTGACAATTTTTCCGGGAATTGTGAAAATAGTTCAACTGTAATGCACTAATGTAAAAAAAAAAAAATTTATTTTGAAAATCTTTTTATTTTTTTTTTCCCTCACTAAAAAAGGAAAAGTCAAATTCAATTTATTAAAATAATTATTAATTTTAATTTTATTAAAATTTATTGTTGATTAAAAATTTTTTTCTTTGCTTTTACATTTTATATAGAAAAATATTATAAATGTCCACTATATTTATTTATGACGTAACTTTGCTATATTTTATAAATGACATTTTGCGATTATATCAAATTATTGATTAAGTTCAATTTTATATATTCTAAGAATAAAACCTTTCGTTGAGAAATTATATAACATTGATAAAAAAAATATCATAGAAAAGAATAAAAATAGTAAATTTTTCGATTTATATAAAAATATTTATTTAAAACTATCAAAATTTTGGTTGAATCAATCAAAAGTTGATTTGGTTTTTCTTTTTTTTTCTCTCTTTCTTCATAGGAAAAATTTATTAAAATGATCCAAACGTTTATTATAAAAAAAAAAAAATATTTATTTGTATCAAAAAAAAAATTTTGTTTTGAATTAACCAAAAAAAATTGTATTGAGTAGGTTCAACCCATTAACATAACCTCACACTAAAAAGTAGTTTTTAACAGAACTAAAAATATATTTTAAAATTGATTTCATCTAAATTCAAAAGTACAATTTTCATTTTAAAAAAAAAATTTGATTCAAAGAAATCAATTTCTTTGATAAATTTTTTTTTTAAATGAAAATTTATTTGTTTCAAACAAATTATTTATTTAATATAAAAATTAAAAAAGTGCCTAACATTTTTTCTTTTGGTCGAAAACAAATTTGTTTTTCAAAAAAATTCAGATAGAATATAAAAAAATATATATAAAAATGATGATTTATTATTATAACACTTCTCCCTCGAGTCAGGTGTCGACGAGTTGAGAGAGAAATGAAGGAAGCGCCTATCGTAACGAACCGGAAATAATATGAGTGACGTGACACTGGTAGAAACCACTTACCGGATAGTTGGTTGTGCTTTGAAATTTAATGAACTATATATGTATATGTCCGATTACCAATTTCCTCTGGACAATATAAATATATAATATATAAACATAATTATAAATGTCAAAATATTGTTTAAAGGATGGGCGTGTTTCAAAGTCCGGAAATATATATTTATTTTTTTTTTAATTAAAAATATTTATTGTGATTTTTTTGCCTAGCAACGATTGCTAAGTACATTTCTTCACCTAGCAACGGTTACTAGGGACAATTTTTGCCTAGCAACGGTTGCTAAGGACGTTTATTTGCCTAGCAACGGTTACTAAGGACAATTTTGGCCTAGCAACGGTTACTAAGAACAATTTTTGCCTAGCAACGGTTGCTAAGTACATTTCTTTACCTAGTAACGGTTATTAGGGACAATTTTTGCCTAGCAACGGTTACTAAGGACAATTTTTACCTAGCAACGGTTACTAGGGACAATTTTTGCCTAGCAACGGTTACTAGGGACAATTTTTGCCTAGCAACGGTTACTAGGGACAATTTTTGCCTAGCAACGGTTACTAGGGACAATTTTTGCCTAGCAACGGTTACTAGGGACAATTTTTGCCTAGCAACGGTTGCTAAGGACGTTTATTTGCCTAGCAACGGTTACTAAGGACAATTTTTACCTAGCAACGGT